AAAAAATCAAATCGATTGACCGTTTGGTTTACGCAATATAATTATCGAAAATTCATAAATTTATATAATTTAAAATAGTTAAAATGGAAAATATATAGTTATGCTTTAACTATTCATGCACAATGCAATCAATCAAGTGAGACTATATACAAAAACGTCAAAAGATTATTACGTCAAAAGATTGTGTTCTAAACTGGCCCGTTTTACAGCGAATAAACTTTTTATAGAGACTGTCGCGCGACAACAACCTTAACTGGAAATTCTTTAATGAATCTATCGATTTAGTGCGAACTATATTACGTTCGATAAAATTCTGTGATTCCCAGAAAACGGTCTTAATTGTCACAGCATTGAATGCTGATGGGTTAATCCCAATTCCAAGCGAATTGTACTCGGTACTATGGTCCTTGAAATTATATTGGTTTGCCCTAATGTAGATTCAAATCCACAATGTATTGTATCGGAATCGATATTCCGTCAGATGAAGTGGTATTTAATTAATATTCTATTTTCCGGTCGCAAAAAAAACAATTCATAATTTTTTTTTTTCAATTCAACGTTCATCTTGAGGACAAATGAAAGGAACGAGCTTCAGGAGTTAATATTTTAAGATTTTTGCATTAAAAAAGATTCAACAAAAACTATCTTCTTATATTTTACTCAAGGGGCTTTATTATTAAAATATAATAGTTTACTCAGTTATAAGTCTATCGAAAACAACTAGTTAATTAGTAGATTGTTACACACAGTATTAGCAACGCTGTAGTCAATGAGTCAAGATGAAGGAGTAAAATTTTATAAATTTCATGCCATTCGAATTACAGTTTCAAATTATTTGTTTTTGAACTATTTTAATGATGTCCGACACCTATACATCGCCAAAATTCACCTTTTAAATTTTTTTTTTTTGCAAATTATCCATGGGATTAATGTAAAAGAAATAACATTTTTACGTTTAATTATTATTTAATGGTTCACGAAGCCTTGTGGTGGTGCGATTATTTTCATTTTTTAAAAAGTTTAGAAGAAACGCAGAAAAATGTTCCCACCATGTTGAAACTTCATGAGTCATTAAATAGTGACAAAAGGCAAAAACGTTATATTTTTCATGTAATCCCATAGTAAGTTCGATAGTATAATGGAAAAACGTAAATTTTGGTTATACATGGGTGTAGAACACCCTTAACTGGATTTTTCGATCTGTTATATTTTGCACTTTTCTTACAATTAGCCGAAACGTTTCCGCTTCACGAATAGTCAAATTTTTAGTGAATATGCGTGGAGGAGCACACGTTTACAAGAGAGAGACTTGTAGACGTAAATAATGCTTATCTTTTCTTCTATTAATTAGTATCTCATCTCGAGATTACAAAGAAAAGAAAAAGGAGGTAATCCAGTTCTATCCATTAATAAATCATCCCAAACTATTTTCTGATTCTATTTAGATACGAATTCTTCAAATACTTCTTGCAAAAGCGAGAGGACGGAAGGCACTTCGACCGGATAAGTTCGGAGAATGAGGATCTATCATCAGTGAGTCCTTCTTACACATCCACAATATCAAGAACCTCAACGGCAACATTTTCAGGAAGCGGACTGATATACAACAAATCTCCGGGGCCTGTTTTGCTGGATGTGACGCGAAGCTAGGCATTGAACATTTAAGGATAAACAGAAAAAACAAATTCAGTAAAAAAAACGAGAAAACATCATATGGAAATGGAAATGGAAATATTCAACTTTTATATTTCAGAGTTTATTGATGAATGATATTTGTTAAATTGGCTTGGTTAGTGACGACCATATCTCCGAACGCTAATTATAATGGAAATGACGGAATTTCTGAATTGATCCTACAGAATGGATCGAGTGCCGGACACTCAATCATTCGAGGAGAGTTAGAAAAATCGAGAAGTTATACAAAAAAAAAATCAATCCGTTATACATAATTTAGATGACATTATGCGTGATGAAGGCGCACTTTTTACTGTTTCACCGCGTACATGAATCCTCAATAGTTGAAGAGGGAATAACAACAATTCGTATTCGAATTTGCTGAGTATTTCGTTTAGTCGATAAAATGTTAGACTCGACCTTGATGTGGTAGGGGAGTGGTGATTTTGCAGATAGCTTGAGAATTGATGGGCTTGAAAAAAAAATTATAGTGATTATAAAGTTGGATGTAAAAAATGTATGCATTGTTTTTCTCTAATTCTGTTCATCTTTGAGATATTTTGAGCTCATCTCTTCTTTTCTTTTCCTTTGATAAATCCTTAATAAGATTAAGAACGAATTCCTGGCATTTTAGCATTTTTTATACTTTGTTCTAAATTTTTGGGAACCACGTCAACCACATCCATGCAGAAAATATGATGTTTTTGAGTTTTATCATTATTTAGTGATTCTTCAAGTGTTATTATCACCGACCAGTTTTTCAACCTTTTTTCAAAACTTTGTAGGGAATTGACAAAAGTTCAGAAAACGATTAGAAAAATCATCGCCCGATTATGAAAGTCGATGAGTCACTGAATAAAGCTAAAACTTGGAATGTCAACAATCAGTCTTTATTGCTGCACGTGTTTATACTTACCTAAAAGAGGAAAAATGTTAAATCAGATCGAAATTGAGAATAGTATTTCTGTTCGTAAGGTCATTAATTATTAGTTTTTGCTGAATTACTACTACAGTGTTGATTATTTCTCGAGAGGTTCACTGATTTAATATGTTAAACTTTTCGATTGCTTTATTAATAGATTGGACTTATAAAAACAGACTGACTGAATGACACGAAACAAATGAGTGATAACTCATTACGAATATAATTAAAAAAACTAGAAATGTGATGTTGGAGTCAAGTATTTGCATATAAATTATTGTCGTCACGAATTTACGATACGTGAATACGTGAGACCATCGATGCATTGCAAGTGTTCTATTATTATCTTGTTTTCTTATTATGATTATTGAAAACATCAAATATTTATGATTGATACCAAATCATGCATACCGCTAAGAGCAATAATTATTTCGGGGTAATAGTACACCAAAACATCGGAATCACGGATAATAAAATCTTTCATGAAGTTATATCATTCTCAGAACCAGTGACGAATGAATGAATTCTTAGGGAGCTTATCGTAATCAGAAATTTTTTAATTTCTCCTTTATGTTCTTACTCTTCAAAATGAAGAATGAAAAAATCGGATTACTTCACTATGAAAGATTCATTGATTCAGTATTTATAAAATGGAAGAAAACCATTGTACAATTATTTTCTTTAATTTTATTCAGTTTCATTTTTCTTTACAATTATAACCGAATTTGATAAGGCCGATGACTTGAGAACCGATTAACAAAAAGGAAGGAACGACCACAGGAATAGACAAGGAAAGATAAAGTATGATTATTTACTTCATTAAACTCTACACTCAATTCCGTATAATATTGCTTCCTTATGGCTGTGATAACTAAGTCAAATTCATCTTGATATTGACTTTAAGAGGGAGTAATATCGTGTGAACTGACGGCCTTCACGCCATATAATTTATTAATATTTGTTACGTAACAGCAGTCGTAAATATTCATCAATACTCTCGATTATGAAGGGCTGATGATTGAAGAACCACGTTATGAATCTTCAGCATTAAATTTACGTAGTAATTAACCATCCTGTCCAACACAAAAGGTAAATTTACACCCTAGTGTATAACTCCAAATGAATCCACGATTTCTTTACTAATTGAATAATCGTACTATTTGACATATTACTGCGTAATAAAAGTAAACGAGAAAGATGGATGGACGGACTTAATCCAATGTATCGATAGTGTACATAAATGAATGAATAAATCATTGTATAGACAGTAGAGTATGGTTACTACCTTAACAGATGTATGATACGTTTTAATAACTCGAAAAAAAATTTTTTAGCTCTCGAAAGTCGATTCTGTACTTTTTACCAGTATAAATATCTGAAGCAAGGCTGAGCAACCTTTGCTCTCAAGGCAAGTCGTGCTCATGAGCCTTATTAATGCGTAAGCAAGGGTAGTCGAGAATCCATTGGATCAAGTGATGGACCTTTTAGATCCATGTCGTACAGGGTCTTCTCCTCTGCTGAAATCAACCGGAGTGGGGGCTGACGCTAAAGAAAGGCAAAAGCGGAGAAGTAAGTCAAACTGGAAGTTTGGAAATTTTGATTACCGCCAAGTCGGTATTGATTCAGAAAACTGACGTAGTCAACGAAATGTGAAAAAAATATGTTCAATTCTGAATAGAAGAACAATTTAGAGGATTTCATGTTCCAGCATTCCCCCAACTATTTATTCAGGGCATAAAATTGATTGTCAGTAAAAATATCGATAGAAGAAAATTTGCTGAAGACATTTCTTTTTAGAAAATGCCCATCTTTAATAAAAGGAAATTACATTAGCTATATTAAAAATTCTGCGACAGATAGTTGTCCTACCATATATTCTTCGGAACGGTCGTTATTAGACAAATACTTTTAAAGGCCAATTCCGTAAGTTGAATTTTTGTAACAATTCAAGGCCCGCGTAGACTATCTATCAAACGTCGACATTCGTTTAAATCTTATCTTTTTAACCTAAAATACACTAACATTTGGGATCAACTTTGTGTTGCAGGTAGCACTTAAATGGACATAAAAGAATAATGATAAAAAAGAAGAAAAATTATTGAAGGGCGCTAAAGATCGATATTATTTAAAAAGAATCGACAAAATTTGCTAAAAAAATAATAAAAAATATGTAGCTTACTATTGCATCGAGCTGTCACTCAATCTTCTGAAGAGCTGCGTACTTTTTATTATTTTTTTGTAAACTTGGTGGATTCCTTGTAAACAATATCGCTCTTTAGCGCCCTTCAATAATTTTTCCTCTTTCTCTTCATTATTTTTTTTAGAACCATTCGAGTAGCTAAAATTTGATCGCAAATTTCAATATATTTTAGGCTAAAAAGATAAAATGTAAACAAAAGATAATATTCGATAGATAGTCCACCCGGGTTTTAATTTATTGTTTTACTGGATTACTGGATAGTCACTTTACATTCAGCGCGATATCCCAGTGGAACTTCAAACCAGAGATTATATGCTATTGGCCGATACACGGCATCCCTAGATGAGAGACGCTGTTGGGTACTCGCCTTTATCCTCCCTCTCTTGGCCCTTCTAGTAGTCGTCCGTAGTAGAGTGGGGTCACGTGGTCACCAGCCTGCGCGGATACGTCCGCGTCTTTCGTCATAGCGTTGAGTACTTTCGCCGTGTTAACACGCCAAAAAACTTTTGCTCGACATAGTCGTAATTTTAGAAGTGTATTATTTCTCTTTCCTACGCTCGCAGTCATTTCCGAAATGTCACAGGAGTCTGTTCGTGACATTGAGAGTATATATCATATAGTCCAAGACGACAGAGACTCGGAAAATCCCGAAAATTCGGAAAGAGAAAATTCTCCAATCAAAGATGGCGACCGAAGCATCGGTTCGTCCCCGGCCGCAAAACGAAGCCGTTACGATGACGAGGTATTGTCGAACCTCCAGAACCAGATAAACTTCCTGGCATCAATGGTTCTCCCCCAGGATCAACAAAAGACAGAAGACGAATCGGATCGAGGGCAGGAAAACTTCCTGACGAGGCCCGTGCAACCCAGAGTACTAGAGTTTGGTGAGTTGAAGACAGACGTTGACGAAAACAAGGCAATCAAACCCGCAGTGCCGAAGCGTCTCGAGACATTGGCCTCATTACAACGTCTCAACACCCCTGTTTGGAAAGAGGTGAGGTTTTCTAAAGCGCTTAGGTATTTTCAAGCGTACCCAGGCTTCACCGACCTGAAAATAAACGAGGAGCTCTGCCACCTCGACAAGAGAAGGGATTCAGTCGCCCCAACAGAACGAGTCCTCGCAAGTTTGGCAAATGCCGTTCTCGAACAGAAAGAATTATTGCAGGAGGGTCTTCAGGAAGTAGTCAATTGGACATCCAACAACCCTACTGAGTTGAACCCTGACACGCTGTTCCACAGACTGGCTTCAACCTTCGGCCCGGAATCGAAGATGGCGTCCAACTTCACGCAAATTCTTCAGATTATCTGCGGAAAGAGGGCCGAATGTGTAGAGATCAGACGAGAGCGCCTGTTAGCAGAGGTCCAGAATAAGAACGTACAGGCCGCCATGAGGAAAATCCCTCCGAGTGTGGATTACCTCTTTGGCAAGGACAGTCTGAATCCCCTGATTCAATCATTAGGAGGACCTCAGAATTGGCTTGGTACCCCATCTTACGCAACTAAAAGGCCAACATTCAAGCGTGAATTTCAACGGGGTACAGGGAGAGGTACACTCTCAGGTAACACCACGAGGCCGAGTCCTGTGTCGCGTAACCAGAGCTTTAAACCAAGGGGTGACACTAAGAAGATTCAGCCTAGGCCCAGGTCAAATGATTCCTTTCGGAAACCAGAGGATAAATGACTACCCGACGGCTCAGCCGTTCTCAAGAGGCCAATTGTCAGTTTTTGTACAGCGTTGGGAGGAGCTGGGAGCCCCACAGTCAGTTTTAAAAATCATCTCAGCATCACGAATCCCCCTGTGCTCGAAACCAACTCTCACCCCAAATTGGCACTCCTCTCCCTTCAAAACAAAGGTATCATCTGCCATGTCAAACCAAATTCAGTTATTGTTGTCTCAGAATGTTCTAGAGCGACCTCACAACCCTGGACCAAGTTTCATCTCCCGCATGTTCCTAATAACGAAGAACAACGGAGAGTTTCGACCAATTTTCGACCTGAGGGGACTCAATCAACACGTAAGGACCAAAAAATTCAAGTTGATCTCACATCACAAGATCCCAGACTTTCTCCAGGACGGAGATTGGTTGGTAAGAATCGATTTATCAAACGCATATTATCACATACCGGTAGTGCGGAACCACCGGTCGCTCCTCCGTCTGTCTTACAACGGGGAGCTCTACCAGATGACGAGCTTGCCCTTTAGCCTCTCATCTGCCCCTCACACCTTTGCGATGGTATCGAATTGGATTGCGGAGACCCTTCGAGCACAAGGTGTGAGGGTCGTCGTCTACCTAGACGACTTCCTGCTGGCCTCCCAGAACCGAGCCACAGCACACTCTCAAGCCATCCAGGCAATGAAGAGACTAGAGTTTTTGGGCTGGCACGTCAACTTAAACAAGTGCATCCTGGAGCCCTGCCAAGAACTGGACTTCCTAGGTTTAACCTGGAATACTGTGGAGAACCGCATGTCCCTCCCAGTAAAAAAGGCACGCAAGATCCACCTTTTATCAGAAGAACTCAAGTCCAGTGGAGTCTGCCGTCTAAAGCAACTCCAAACACTCTTGGGGCACCTCAACTTCGCCGATTACGTGATACCCAGAGGGCGCCTCCACTCTCGTTACCTACAGATCTTTTTAACGAATTTCAACCAGAGGAGACCTCGCCAAAAACTCCATATCCCCACAACCGCAAAAAGCGAGCTGAAGTGGTGGTCGGAGGCAGTTCACCTGAACTCCCCACTCCACAAGCCACCAGTCCAATTCTTCTTGACGACGGACGCAGCGGACAGCGGCTG